TCACAATAATGCTTGCTTTTTGATTAACTGCAAAATTCTCGTAACGCGCGACACAATAACAAACGGTTCTATTGGCTGATTACGAACACGCCACAATCGTCTAGTTTGAATGAAAATATTCTTTCTGTAGAAAATTTGCTTCTTTATTCGTTAACGATCAATGGAAACTAAGCAGAAACAAAGGTAAAAGAGTCTTAAAGTTCACCTAAAGTTAAAACTAACATGTTCATAAGAAGTCGTGGAGTATGGTTTGGATTTGCTGAAAAGATGTTTACGTTTTGCTCGGCGAAATCCAGAAAACATGTTAGCGAAGACGACTGCCATCCTTCTTTAAACTTATATTCATTTACGAACATTGGCTGGTCATTACGGCTTCTTGAGAAGACCTGGCAGCAGTTGTTTTTGTGAGTAATAAATTTATGTCTTCTTGTGTAATTTGTGTTGTTATTGCGATAGAAATTTTCCTGCTTCAGTCGGATTGTCCAGAGATAACAAAGTGCACAACAAATTTAAAAACAACAATAAAAACGGAAATTTTGCCTTTAAGTGTTGTTGATGACCAGTTGGTGTCTGTTCTGTTGCCAGTGAATGTCTTTCGGCCAAACTTTGCTGCAGCTGATCTTCGACAAATTTGCGAACAGCGCGCAACTTGCGAGTTTTTTTTTAATTCGGCTTTATTTTTGCTGCTTGTTGGATCAGGACCTAAAAGGTCAATGCCGATAGAAAAATTGGGCAGTTCTTCGCTGGTTTCTTCCATATTTTAAAGAGAAGGAAAAGTGCACTACAGCTTGAAAGACGACAACTTTGCAGCCAGGTAAAAAAAAATGCTCACGTCATCTTATTTACGCACGGGCGTGCGTAAATAAAGATTTTGTTCATAGCGGCTCAATAGGACTTATATAGGGCAAGCACGCGTACTATGTTATAAATACGTTTATAACATAGCGCGCGTGCTTGCCCTATGTAAGTCCTATTGAGCCGCTATTTACGCACGCCCGTGCGTAAATAAGATGACGTGAGCATTTTTTTTTACCTGGCTGCAAGAAGCTAGAGTTGCACTCGGCTATCGCCTCCTGCAACTCTTACGCATCTTTCGTGCTCTCCAAACTTCCCGCGTGCATCCATAACTCGATATACGCACGCTAAGCATGAACAAATTCTTAATTTAATCTTAATCACTGGGTTTCTCAAAGTGACAAAAAGTAAACTGGAAACAGAAGAATGGAAAATTTGGTGTAAATTTGCATGAGAGGTTGAGAGGTTTGTATCCTAACACAAGACAACACCTAAGCAATCCCGATTAACTTTTATTAAAAGGTGTAGTTTTCGGGATGAATTTCTTAACCCGACCATGTTCCTTACTTAGGCCGATTCTTTAGAGCACAATTGGAGCCAAAACCTTGGCCTGGCTTAACAACGGAGTACAAAGTGCAAAAAAAGTAACTAAAAGATTTGTACGCCTCTTATATCATTAAGCTGATCTAGACAAACCACATCGTGGTAGTGGTCTCAATATTTTTTCGCTTAACAAAACAGCTATGTCTCAAACTAGAGGTGAATTTATTTATAGCATACGCGTATGGCAGTCAGATTTGCCAGTTGACGTTTTTAATATTTTTAAATTCAAAAAAGTACACAATTCCAACAGGTAAATGCGAAGGATATAGGCGTAGCTGCAAACGAATAATTCACCTGGCCTAACGTTCTCTATTGATGTTACTGTTAAAGAGTTTCCTAAAAGTATGAATACATTTCAAGGTCATCAACGTCAAGTGTCCTATTTATACAACGGATTGTAAAACTTAGCACAAACTTAACAAGTACAAGTAAAAGAAACAACAAAATAGTTGAATTTCACTTCTTGATAACTGAGAAGTGATCTAACGACCAGTTCCTGCATTACGTTGCCTACCTGCAGCACATTTGAGGCTAGTTAGTTCAGAATCAGTGTGTGTCCACCTTACATTGGATTTTTGAAGAAGCTCAATCACGCCTGTGTGGACAGTCAGCCCAGTTAAACGTCCGATTTGCTGTAACGTATGATTCAAGGCTCCCTGTAATCCTTTATCCTGGAAGAGACTTGCCATTTTATCTTCACTGCGGTTCCGTAGATTTACAGAAAGAGGCAATTTCGCACCCGTTTCCTGCGTTGGAGCCGCCACCCACGTATCGCGTATGGTATTGAAATAAACGCTATAAACAGAAGGTTCAGAGTGTCTGCGACGTAGGCTAGCATCCCGGGGGATCTTCATTTTTAACCCAAAACAGATAACTTTGTGCAAATAATAGATGAATCTCACAATGCCTCTCTTATAACAAAAAGTTTAATAGCAACTTAAAAAACATACATTCAAATAAACAATTAAATTTTAAGAATTTTTCACATTAAATTTCATTTTCAAACCGGTCGGCGGCAAGTCAGAGAAATAAGGGGTAAGATTGATCGTTCCATGCTAAAACAAACAAACAAACAAACAAACAAACCGCTGAAGAAAAAAAAAATTAATTTCACATTGCAAACTTCAGAGCCTGCCTCAAAGCGGCATTTTTTTTAATTTGAACAACAGGGTTAAGACTGGATATCAACTGGGCGAAGACTGACGCCCAAGGGAACAGAATGTGTCCTGATACAATGCTTTTTTCCACATTCAGAAGTAAGAGAATAGGAAGAATGGACAGGAGCGTCGCTACCGTGTACAATGCCATATCTGCAAAAGCCTTTTTCTCCCTTTTAAAAAGGATCGCTTGTTGAGAGTTGTGGGTGGCATCTAAGATCTTTTTGTTGTTGGAGCGGATTGCCTGGAAAGTCAAGACGTGTCCGCCGATCGGTATGATCATCATTGAAATCATCGTGATACTTTCCAGCGCTTGATAAAGCACCTCAGGCACCGCAGTTTCCAGAAGGATTATGTAGATGAACCAGATCACCCATGCACTAATGACTATCTTTACCATTCCTGAAATACAATTATTGTAATTAATTTTAAGACTGGAGTTAGTAAAGGCATGGGTTACTGGCTTAGCTGGCTGCCCGGCATCATAAAAGGACCGTTTTGATCAAGCATCTTTGTCTCGATTGTCGAAACGATAAGTACCGTATTTGGAATTCATCGTGACCTAGGAAGCACAAAAAATGAAAAAGCACCAAATGCTCCTGGGGGCTTCATTTTACGCTTAACTGAGATGGATAGTACGAACAAGCCTTTTAATTGTGGAAAAGGGAAAAGAAGTGATTTCAAAAAAAAAATAACAACAATTTAATCAATTTTTGATTAAAACCTCATAAGCGTGTGCGTCAGGCTTTTCTACCTCACCCCCCTCCCCCTCTACTTAATTACTTAAAAACCTAGAGAAGCCTCATACTCTAAAGAACAAGGAATTTCATGGGGAACAGAATGTAACTTTAAATTTCAAAAAACCTAGTTGTCTTATTTTGGAAAAGACTTTCCTAGCGTCATGGACAAAAGGATGTCACGTGTTTCTCACAATCACTCTAAAAAGCACAATCAAAAAATTCCCAAAACACTGAAGGAACTCTTACGTTGGATTCTTTTGCTTCGTTCAGATTAGGGTTGAAAATGACCTTCATGAGAATTTTACAGTGCAGGAAAAAATTGCTTGATGGAGATTTTGTTTCAACTATGTGATTACGTTGAATCCCCCAAGGTACTTGTAGCGGCCCGAGTGTTCCGCCGTTTTTTACGTCATGTATGTGTCACGAATTTCTGCGCATGCGCGCTAGTTTTGTTATGGTATCGACCACGCGGTCCGATGAATAGAGCCCAGAAAGGCGTAAGTTTTTACTTTCCTGCTTGCCGTTTTCTTGCCGTTTTTTTTTACTTTCCTGCTTGCCAGTTTTTCTGTATACCAACTGTACATCTGTATATCTAATTTGACAGATTCACTTCTTTAGCGATTTGGAGATGTATTACGCGTATGGATTTGTGATTAAAGCTATGATAATCTGTTCAAGTCAAACGGTAGACTTTCTCAAAGTCGTTCGCTTGGTTTTCTGGTCTGGTGTGGTAGGACCCGGCTTTCGCTCGCTCGCGTTTCGCGCTCGCTCGCTCGCGCTACGCGCTCAAAGCTCGACTTGTGAACAAGTCTAGTCAAACGGGTGTTTTTCATTTCGGACCCGCGCTGGCATAGTACTGACTGGGAAATTTTGTCCTTTTTTATCGATTTTTGACAATAATTGTTGATAATAATAAATTTGTCATTTATAAAGAGATAAATGAACTAAAAGACCATCAATACAAAGTTTTGTGCGCAGCTGAATAAGCTTGAATACTAAAAAAGGTCGAAAACTTCAAACCTTGGCTAGTTTGAGCCCCTAATAGATAGCTGTTCCGGCGAGAGTAGTAAGTACGCTGTAAGACTTAAAGGTTGGGAAAAACAGCCTATCATTATACTTTCATCATAATTCTTTTAACTGTGGCTTAAAACAAGGCCCCCGAAAAGTGATGTAGGTTTAAAAGATTAGGGAAGCGGCCTAAATAATTTCGTTCCTAAACCCCCTAAGACAATTACTTCGAGCCGCTTTTACGTCTGAATGGACCGGCCGTTAATGCCGTCCAATGAAGTCACTACCCCTTTGCTTTAATTCATGCAGAACGTCAGACACGATTTTCAATTGGCAAACCGCAATAAAGATCGTTTGAAAATGTCCCGGGGGGGGAGGGGTTTTGAACACTTAGTTCAAAAACACAACGGCGCTTTAACTTTAATTGAAAAGAAGCTATTTGGTCCCAGTAACGAAGAAGAAAGAAAACAAGGAAACAAGAAATAAAAGCTAACAGAATCATTACACTTGACGTTGGAAATGACAAGAAGGTCGAATTATGACTTAAATCTCAGACAGGGAAAACTTCGCACAGACAAAAGCACTGCCGAATTCGTAGTTCAACTTAACAATTCATAATTTCGAAGACAAGGGCAATTTTGCTGTTTACGTTAAAGGATTGTCGAAATTTTTGAGCTCCACTCAAGGATTATTAGTACTGATGCCAGGCATGTGAGCCGCTGGATATCAAACGACAATGTCCCTATAATTTCTCATAATTATACATAATTATGCCAAAGTTTGGATAATCAACCAACCAAAATCACTACTCGGTTTTCGGATAGTGACGTCACTGGACGGCCTTAACGGCTGGTCGATTCAGACGTTGCTGAGAGGAGATGACGACTCGAAGTAATCGTCTGAAATTCAGGCTACCTAAAACCATTTTCCATTTGTCTAATCATTTTATAAAAGGAATGTAAAGCAATTTCAATTTGCAAAGGTAAGGGTTTGCCATAGTTCTTCATACCTTGCAGTGTTATTTTTGCTGAATAGGCAAGGGGCTTTGAAACAGCATACAATCTTTCGACACTCATTATTGACAAGTTCACGAAGGTGCAACCGATAAGCATGAACGGAACAGATTTACTGGCTTGGTAAAGATGAACCAATTTGCAAGTGTCTTGAAAATGATGCAGAAGAAAGCGCCATGCTATGTACACAGGTTGAAGAACTAGGCCGGTTAGACAATCAGAGGCAGCCAGGCTACACAGCATCACGTTAACTGGACGGTGGAGTGAAGGAGAGCGGATTATGATGACTAAAACAGCCAAGTTAGCGACCACGGCAAATAAGGCGAACGGGATGCTCACGACCGTTATCACAGTGTCACTGATGTACACAGACTGGACGTTGACGGCGTTAAGAATCCAAGATGGGAGGCATAGTTCTGAACTGTCATTGTTTAAGGCTGTGCTGTTAGCTATATTGTTTAAACCTCTAGTTTTATTGCTTAACATGTTTCAGTTTTCTTGAAGTCAGATGCTTCTTCATGTGACTCTGCAAGAAAAAATTCCACAATCTAGCTAGCTATAACAACAAGATAACTTATTTTAGAATAATATCGTGGAACTCCACCTTACGACCACCCCGCTTATACGACCACCTCGTTATTATGACCATATTTTTCGACCTAAACGTTAAAATCGTTTAGTCATTTTATTGATATAAATAAAGAGCCTGTTAATGCGGCCACCTCGTAATTGATGATAATAATAATGATGATGATGATATTAATAAAGTTTGGTTTTAATTGCTCCTAGAACTGGAATAATCACGAGCCAAAGCAAGCCAAGGAGTTGGAAGAAATGAATTTACCATGGGATTTTCCTATTCAAACTGACCATCTAATTAAGCACAACAGACTATCATCGTAGTTGTAGACAGGCAGGAAAAAAGCTGCGCAATAATAGATATAGCATGCCCATTTGACCATCGAATAAGTGAAAAAAATTGCTAAAAAATTGTCGCCTAATTTACGTGAGTTTGGCTGCAAATGCGGCATTCACCATCTTTGTCCCCGATTTCCTACTAGTTTGCTCCTCTTTGTATCATATTTGCCCTGGACAATTTAGCGTAATATATTTCTTGGACAATATTTCTTGGCAAATGAAAGTGGAACTCTCAGTCTCGTAATTCATTACATCTATCAGGGTTGATTTTTAAACCATTTCACAAGTTTCATCAATAAAATAAGCTCAAAGTACTTTTTTCCTCTCATGGTCAACAGTATAACTGGCCCCAAGAAGTCTGACGAAACAACGTTTTTTCACTCGCTGATACCAAGCAGCCTAACTCTCAAGTCGGTAGTATCGTTCCCAAGCAATTTCAAAAACAGATTTCTAATTAGCAAAAGTAACTACTATTTCCTATTTATAGTTACTCCCATACATTACCATACACTGAGCAGATTTACCTTGCGATTTCTAGTGGGAAAGTCGTTTATTTGCAGGTCTACACCAAATTTAATAGAAACAGGGTAAAACTCGACTTTCAGCTCACCTGAAAAAAAAAAGCTTGGATTAGCCTAATTTATACATAACACTTCTATTTTTAAAAAAGCACATTCTTCCTAGACCATATCAATTTCTCTCCGTCTGTCATTTCCCAGGATACTTAAGGAAATACGTACTACCTATTAGCCTTGAAATAAAGGTGCAAAACAAGAGGTTTTGACCTGCTGATATCATTGATATCATTGGCTGTCGGACAATTAAGACTAATTGATTGTACTTTGACTTGAAATTTTAATATGCAATGCTTTTATTTCATTATGATTAAGCTTACGTTAACTAGCTAATTGCGAATTTCTGGTAAGTAGTTACAGGCAGATTAATAAGACAAAAAATAATGATCCAAAGGAACAGATTAATGGCTTGAAAATAGAAAAAACTGACAGCCTCAACAACAGCACCGAATTTTTTAAGGCTGCCGCCATTCCCGTCCATGAATCAATTCCCACATATGCATTTGATTATATCTATCAGGCTCTATAATAGATATACTTGCGCGTTATAAATTTTAAGTTATACTATTCTATATTATTATATCCCCGAGCCACTCTTGTAGCTTTGGTACTCAAAAACTTGGCTTCAGATCTGGTAAATATGAGGTGAAATCCGTTACTTTGGCATAAAAATGACTAAAAGTGTCACTGATTCGTATAAGTTTTCCCTTTTTTATGAATTTTACTTTTCGCTATACAATTGATAAGAACTTCCTTCTCGATAGTACACGCGTGCTCTATGAAGGGTTTTAGAAATTCTTAACGAAGTGAGTCGGTTCTATAGCATGTGTTTTGAAAGGTTTATTTACGAGTTTGATCCGGGCACTAATGTTTAAACATTCCTTTATTTGCCTGTGATCACAGATGCTCAAATCCCCATGAATCTTAAAATCAACAAAGAAAAACATTAAGAATCAGAAGATTAATTTGTGAGGACATTGTACTTTTACACTTATTCATATCTCACATTGCTCTGAAGAACTGAAACTTCAGTTTGTAAAATTGACAGAGGGCATCAATTAATAGCATCATTTTAAACGTGTATATTACACGAATTTTTTAAAACTGATTTTGGTCCTTAGATAGGCCTCTCCCGAAGCATTTCTTGAATTTTGGCCGTCCAAAAACTCCCTGTTCCGCTTCAGAAATGTCCCAGAAGCTGGGGACGAGTAAGGGATCAAAGACAGGCTGATGACGTCATGTGACGTCAGTTAATAACGTTAGTTTTCCGATTCTGGTTATTGCAGTTATTGCTTTTTTGTTTTGTGCAATTAAGTTGAATTAAACGATGTATTTGACTGTAACAAAAGTACAGCGAAGTAAATGAAGATTCAGAAGATGGTTGGGGAGTTGTCCACAACGACAATCCTTCTATTTGCCGCCATCGTGTTCATTTATTCTACATCCTCGCAAATCATACGTCATACTGGTAAATTTGGCCGCGCGATACGGCTGACATTTTGGAGGCAAAATCGCGTATTTTGAAGGCGAAAAATACGTTTGCAAGATTTTTGACAAGCTTAAAATTCGGATACACTTTAACGCATTTTTAAGAATTAAAAACACCAAAAAAAAAATAATAATAATAATAATTCGTGTCATTACACTTACGCCGGGAGGATGTTTATTTGCATTTTATAATTATATGCACATGTCTTCGGGATGAAAAGGGAATGACGACAATACGTTGAATATGTTATAGGTATTCCTCTCTTACAGGTTTGAGACCATGTGTTAATACTGTAACAACAGATACGAGAAAATTTAAAAGCCCATCGTGGTACAGATATTAGGGAGAGAAGAGACTGCAAACCACTTCCAATCGGTTTTTTGGGAGTGGTATTGGTTTAATGGTTTGACAAATAAAGTCTTCAAGCACTGAACAAGGAATGCTTTTCTACAGTATTAAAGAATCTATAACCTCCCACTTGTCTTCTTTCGCTCATTTCCTTTTTAGGCCTATTTCTCCCACTGCTGAGCCTGATCCCAGTACTAACTCGCCAGACTATCGATAACAAAATTCTCATCACATCTTAAGCTCGAACTGCGCCTCGAACTCTAGAGCTTTATGATGAGTCTCGAAGTCTCGTGTTTGTGCCGGGCGGGTTGCTTTTCCCTCTCAGTGATGACCTTTTTATCGTTAAGTCTGTCACTCTTAATCCATGCCGGTTTTGAGAACTCTTGAAATCTACCTCTAGCAACTCGTAAAAAAATTCATTGAGGAATTATACTACGCAAGAAAGTCGACTGCCGATAACTCGAACCCTCGCTAACTCGACCATGCGTAATTATAATAACTCGAACCAAAATCGATTTTCCCTGGATTTCCTTCATACTTTTACTGTTATTTTAATCTAGGTATCTTAAAACCCCCGCGCGATAATTCGAACCTCCCGCTAACTTGAAGTAATTTTTGTTTCCTTTCAGATCATATTTTTATAAAATTTTACTCTCAGTCGATAACTCGAACTATCTTTAAGGGCGTGACAAGTCGAAAAAAAAAGGGTAAAGTAAAAAAGAAAAACAAAATCATTTTGTACAGTCGAAACATTTAATTTATTGCAAAAAAACTGTGTATTCTTCGTCTTTCATCTTTGTCAGTCCAGTCTAAATACAGTGTCTAGCCCCAATTAATATTATTCAAGCTATGTTGCTTCAATCCCTTTTTCATAATATCAATATCATACCTCTTGCTGTTCTTGAGGTGAAGTGTGCATGATACGTACTTAATCTTCCTTCCCCATCCCATTTGCTTATTTCCTTATTTTAGGTTATTTGCCCCGAACTCTCGATAACTCGATCTCCCAGTTCGAGTTGTCGGGGAGTTGACTGTAATCAATTTCAGTGTCAAAGATTTGACACAGGCAGCAATGTCGCCCGGAAGACGGATGGAAATAAATGTTTTCATTTTTTTTTTTGTTTGTTTTGTTTGGTTTTGTTTCTTTACTCTAACCTCTATTTTTTAGTATTCTGTTAACACTGTGCTCTTCTCCCAGAGTTAGAGTTTGCCGCCTTAAAAACCACTTTTCTGATATTTCTGGAAACAAATCTCAACGAAGTCCGAGTTTGGGACAACGGGTTAAAATAAACGCTGCCTTACCTTAGTCGCCAGGTGGAACTTACTGGCACAAGATCCGAAAGCAAAATCAAATGATTACCTAAACATTTTATCCCAAAATTTGACTCTTCTCTGTTCTGCCAACCCAACGTATATTCACCCCTCATTTACTTCATCATATATACGTTAAAAATTTAGCGTAGCAAGACTACAAGACTAGCTTGGGGGTATAATGTAAATTACAAGGATTGGACGCTGTGAAATATTGTAGCTCATTAAATCTTCATGCTATCGTTGAGGCTGTCAGTTGAAAAACTTTCTACTCCTTTATTTTCAGTTCGTCAGTAACCTATCCCTTTGTATTGTAATTTATCACTGTCTCAGTATGCCTGTAACTAGTTAAAAAATATCATATACTTGCAAAAAGCGGATCGAAGATTAGTCTGATTTTCTGGTTTTAATTCGCAACGAAATGAAACACGTTGAACTTCTTCTCATGAAAATTTCCAGTCAAGGTAATACTAATTAGTTTTCCCCCGACAACCATTGTTGCTAAAAAAAAAGTTGGTTAATAATCATATTTTTTGTTTCTTTTCCTTTAAAATTAATTCCTTTTTTTGCTAATAAAACTGGATTTTACTCATAAGTTTCTTGAGAAATGACAGACGGAACTTCCGCAACCGAGTGTAGGAACAATGAGATCGGAGCAATTAATAGCGGTAAGCTAAAGTGCATATAACCCCAAATTTGTTAAAAAATGGAATCGAATGGAAAATTTTTAATAAACGATGCCGTAGATTGTTTTCGATCTTACGTAAATCTTATTTTTCTACTGATTTTTGAATCTGTAGAATTAATGTTTTGGGCCTTGGGACGAATGAGAAATCTTAAACACA